TCATTTCTGATTCAACAGCAACCCTGAACGTCTGTCAGTCTGGACAACATGGTCAAAGGTTACCGAGCACCCTTGCTAGGCAGATCCATCCCTAAGGTTGTTCAAGAATTCAAAGGAACAATATATAGTATCTCAAGCCCCCAGTCTAAACACACCCAGCCTCTGATTTCTCCCACCTCTGTTTCCCTCCTCCTCAATTTCTTTCTATTATGCATTTCAATAGATTCAACATTAAAGGCAGGTAGAGTTTCCTAGTCATTCAAAAACAATACTTTACTTGACTCCGATATTGCTTATGGGTTTGCCAATCTCAAAGTCTATCTCCATAGTCAAAGGCTACGGTGCACAATGTTCTGAAAGGCTTCCATTCATAAGTGGTAGGTACAGGAGTGTTATGGGTGATGCTTGTGAGTCCCAGGGCTGTCCTTAATTAAATGTATGAAAGGGGGACATTTTGATAAGGTTCTGTCTCTGCCTTCCTCTATAATTCTTTCTTCACCCATGGGCTTCCCAGAGTTCTCTTCTGGGGAACCCACAACCATATTTGTCCTCTATCCACTATTCTCACTCTCTGAAATTTTTTTTCATTATTCTTTCTGCATCACAGTTCACTATTTTCTTTCCCATTCCCTCTAATTCCCATTTAATAACTGGTTAATCTGAAAATCTAATTCTAGAACAGCACTATTCAACATGTGGTTCCTAGCATTCGTATAACGTGGGAACTCGTAACAGTGCAGATTCTCTGCCCATAACTGACCTAATGAATTGAGGGGTGGGGGCTCATAGTCAGGGCCTTTACATGCTCTTCAGGTGTCAGGTGATTCTTGAACACACTGAAGACGATTATTTTCACTTCAAGGTGTCATGTGTTTGCTTTTTAGAGGGGTCTTTTAAGTCATTTTCTCAAAACATGACTGTGTAAAAATTGCAGGAACCTCTGTGTGGGAATAGGGTGTTCCATCATGTATCGCAAAGCATACTATCGAATTCACAGAGGCTACCGGCTCCTACCACCCTGAGAACAGCACTGGTGGCAGGGAAGCTAGTTTCAGACAAAGACCTCTGAATGTACATTCAGAAGCCGTCAGAACATCCCACTTGAAATAAGATGACAGGTAGATTAGAATACTGTGTCGCTCAGCTACAGCCCCGATGTTCAAAAGAGAGAAAAAAAAAAATCTCCTAAAACATCCTCCCTCGGGATGTTAATGGTCCACCTCTAATCACACGTCATTTATTGAATGTGAAAGGAGGTCTGATATGGGCAAGGTGTGATGACCTGGCAATTTATTTTACTTCTTGGTGTCACAGACATGTTTCCATGAGCTTAGCAGGTCAAAGAGCTTAAAATGTTATCTAGAATAAGACAAACATGTAATTTTCCTCTGGCTTTATTCCATTTTTTCCTTAATGATTAATTAAGAGACATTCCTTGACTTAAAAAATTTGAGGTGAGGTTGAACCAACCCTTACGGTAATTCATAAAATCTAACGTCTACAAAATTAAGCTTGCTTGGGAACCCATGGACCAAAATTTCCAGCTGAGGAGGAATTTTTCCCAAAACGTATGCATCCCCAAACCTTTTCTGGGCAATAACATCCTCCTGGGCTTAAATTTTCCATCAGGACTCAGCCTTCCCTATAAAACCTGTTAGGGTGATGTGTCTTCTGGCTGGCAGCATGTGAAAGTCAAGCAAACAAGCCTTCCAGGGCTCACATTGAGTTAAGAAAACATTTTCTGCGTGACATTTAGGGCCAAATTAGGGACCAAAGTCCTCATTCTTTTACTCAAGGCTAAGTTTATGTCTCCACAGGCAATGTGAAATGGAGTGTGGAGAAATGATCTCATGAAATAAATTAATTTAGACAGGATGCCTGGGTTGTTAGTACCCCCACGGAGTGTATGTGTAAGTGTATGTGTGCATGTGCCATGTGCATTTAACAGTGAGTCAGGGAAACAGTAACACTAAAGAGATTAACGGAAAGTGCTCTGCACCAGCAGTAGAATGGAGCTTTTCCTCTGGGCCCCACCTCTTACCAATCATGTGACCTTAGGCATAACTCCCTGAGCCTGTGTTTCCTCGTCTGTTAGATGATCTGGTAAGACCCGTTCAACTACCACCCAGGGTCATGATAAGCAGAAGGATAATTAACAGAAGTAGTCTGTATTGATATATCAAAGTTCGGTATTACTGCCACTAAATGTTTCCTCTAATATTTGCACCAGATTCTGTAGAAACACATGGTCATTATTCTTGGGTACACACTGACACACCACAGCTTTGGCCTTTCAATCTCTCTCACCAGGACCTTCGAGCCACATATTTACCAGCACCAGACGAACTCACTATCTCTGTAATGATCCCAGCTATAGCTGCCTCCAGAACAAGATATCAGAATAGGAAATTGAATCTGAGCTTCTCCCATGGAAGGCCAGGGCATTAATCATGGTGAGCACACTGGGGGTTTTTCATCTGAGTCTACTGGTTGGGTTCATAAAATCTCTTTCATTTTTCATCAGGAGATTCCAGGTTTTATATATTTATTATCCCTCTCATTATTTCACAGCCAGCAGCATATTTTACTTGTAGCAGTGCCTAACTTGAAATAATTTTGGAAACCACAATGCTTATGAGGCATGGCTTACTGGGGCACCAGCAAGCAAACCTTGCTCTTTATTAACAGACTAGGTTAAAGATTGCTTACATTTGCACCCTAGTGTGCACTGCCATTTCAGCTTTTCCCCCTAACAACACCTACTGAACATGAGGATAATTTAACCTGGGTTTCCCCACCACCCCCCACCTCCACCTTGTCAGTTTCAAGGAGCCTGGTATAAACGTAATTTATGTAACTCCCCCTCTTCATACTGTAAGGCATTGACCATTGAGTGGCAACAGCAATAGCAGTTATTTTCATGGCAAACATGCTTCAATGAAATATAGTACAGGGTTGCCTCCACCTCTTTCAAGCCACAGTCTACCCTTAAAAAATTAGTGTCCATGGGTGGCTGTCAACATAGATCAGTGTAAGGGGAAAAATATGTTCACTGAGAAGTTCTTTGGCCTGTGAGTATAATATACAAGGAACATGGTGATTACAGATGGATTTTTGCCTCTTTAAACGTTTCCATTCTTTTCCTACACTGCCTCCTCTGTGAGTTCATTTGGCTCATATCTGACTTATTTGACTATTAAAAAGTGAGTTTAGGTCATTCAATTTGTTTAATAAAACACAGTGGAGTCTCTACCTTTAGAAGTAAAATGTTTACTTATCTCATTTAGCATTGTTTTTATAAATTTAATGAGATTATTGAATTAACACATTTCTCTAATAGGGAAGATTTAGATGATTCTTCTGAGTAATCTAAAGGGATTTCAAGCAACAAGATGAAAATACATGGGCACAAAGAGATGCCAGGAGGAGAAGGCAAGAGAGATCCTATTAGAAGAAGAGGAGGAGGAGGAAGATATGGGCAAGGAAGGAGGTAAGAGTCATGCTTTTTCACTTTGGATCCAGGACAATAAGTCTTGCAGCAAGGGGCATTTAGTGTTTCATGAATCAAATCCCAGCATGGCTCCTGTGCCTCAGAAGTACTCTGACAATCAGCCAGACCATCTCCTTTCTTTAGGTCACCTCAAAAATCCATGACAACACACTGTTTGAAAACCTCAGGAAAAGGCAATTCTATAATGTTCTTATTTTGGGCCCATAACTGGGTTGTTGAGCCATTTTACTCCAGCTCCTAGCACAATCCCCTGAACAACTGAAAAATCCTCTTGGAGTAATGAGTAAGTGAATGCAGAATGTTCTCTTGGGTCTGATCTAAGTTGTTCAAGGGCAGCATGACAGGGTGGTTATGAGCCCCACTCTGAAACCAAATATGATCTCAAATCTCAGTTCTGCCACTTCTTTGACCTGGAACTTTGTTGCACCTCAGTTTCCTTATTTGTAAAATGAGGATAGTAGGATTGTGGTAAAGATTAATTAAGTGCAGTGTTCTTAGTATAGTATGTAACACATGGTAAATGCCGTTGAACTGATTGGTTGCAGGGCTACTGGGTTGCATAGCTCTAAGGAATGTTAGTCACATCAAAATCTATGTGAATGCCACAGCCCAGAGTTACTCAGGGTACAACCTGCAAGCTCAAATAATAGCAGTGGTATTTTGCTAGCATTATTATTATGCTTTGCTTAGGCACATTTTTTTCTTTTTCCTTTTTGTCCCAATACCCACAACTTATGCAGAAAAACATGAATATATGTTGTCTGAAGTGCAAAATAAAAGAAAATTTTTATGCATTTGAAAACCAAAGCATTTTCTGAAATGTGCCTTATTAGACATTTTCCTTAACCAAGACAAGCACAAGGAAAAGCCAAAGAGAATGAGAGTATATTCATTCAAGTAGCTGACCATGCACTTGGTCCAGGACTAAATCAGTCTCTTGAGGTAAAGAGCCCACTTACTTGTCAGCCTGAACACTACTCTATGATCGTCTGAAGGAAATGCACAGTGTAGAGAGAGGTACAAAAATGGCTTCCCAGAAGTGTGTCTGGTGGAATGTCTAGATTCCATCTCCAGAAACCAAGAACCTCTAATGACATAAACCAAAGAGGAGAAACCAGGCACAGTGCTATTCCCTTCTTTTGGAGCATGGAGTTTTCCTTGTCAGAAACACACAAGGATGACAGCCTAGAAAGCATAGAGGGGTCAGCTTCCATCCCCATGAGTTCTAGCTGCTTCCTTTCTCCCAATTCTCACCTCAGTGTCCTTGAATGGGTTATGAGAACAGCTTCACAAACAGAAATACACACACACACACACACACACACACACACACACACACACAGGAACTTTCTGTAAGGTAGATATACCAGGGTACCAGAAATTCCCTTTTTTGTGTGTAATTGAGTCTCACTCTGTTGCCCAGGCTGGAGCCACTGTGCCCAACCTCACCAGAAATTTTCTCTCTTCCTGCTCTGCATCCTGGGCATACCTTCATGAACAGAGCCCTGCAGTGGCTGGTGTACCTTTAGAAATCACACCCATGTTCCAGGAAAAAATGAGGCAATTAGGCCTAAAGACTTCTCCTTGAAGGGCTTTGTCTTTCTGTTGGTGAAAGGAAGCCAGTCTCAGTAGACTTGTCTCTATATCTCATTGGCAGAAATCTAAAACCATCAGATCTCTTGAGACTTATCCACTACCATGAGAACAGTGTGGGGGAAACTGGTCCCGTGATTCCATTATCTCCCAGTGGGTCCCTCTCACAACACATGGGAATTACAGGAGCTATAATCAAGATGAGATTTGGGTGGGGACACCACCCAACTATATCATTAAGGAACTTAAAATTGGCTGGTGTCAAAGCTACACAGAAGAATGCAAAACCATTTAGGATGCTGCTCAGACTTCAAAGTTGTAAGGAGACATACAACAATTCATTGCAGAATTCTTGGTCAACATAGAAAAAATGAAAACAACCGAAATGTCTACCAAAATTAGAATAGAAAATAAATTTTGTAATAGCTGTATCATAAAGTACCAAGCAACAATTTAAAACAATTAAGTTTATTATATGTACTAACAAGGAAAACTCCTCAAGACATATTAGTGAAAAAGCAAGCTATAGAATAACAGCCATTTCATACCAGTTATGTTAAAGACATCTCAGCCGGGCATGGTGGCTCACACCTGTAATCTCAGCACTTTGGGAGGCCAAGGCAGGCAGATCACGAGGTCAAGAGATCAAGACCATCCTGGCCAACATGATGAAACCCCACCTCTACTAAAAATACCTCCCCTACAAAAAAATTAGCTGGGTGTGGTGGCATACACCTGCAGTCCCAGCTACTCAGAAGGCTGAGACAGGAGAACTGAGACAGAAGAATCACGTGAACCCGGGAGGTGGAGGTTGCAATGAGCCAAGATTGTGCCACTGCACTGCAGCCTGGCAACGGAGTGAGATTCTGCCTCAAAATAAACAAATAAATAGAATAAAGACATCTCAAAATATGCTATATTTTACCAGGAATTATATAGGTACAGACAATGATCTGGGAGAATGTACACTATGCAGATAGCAGTACAAATGTCATCTGGGAAGGAGACCTAGATTCTAGGTTCTAGTCAAAAAGGACTACATCTTCAGGGTTTTAATTTTTACCACAAGACTGTATTCACTTCCTGCTTGTATAATCAAAAATTAACTGCATTCTAATACCTTTAAAGTAAAGCATAAAGGACATCAACCTACTAGTTGAATTTTTATACATATAGTAGAATGAAAAAGAATATTAAATAAATGACTATTAAAAGAGTTACATTATATTCTTAAATTATCCTAAAATACTGTTTTATAAAAATTGCTCCCATAGGTTACACATTCATATTTTTTCAATATATTAATATTTTCTAAAAGAATATTTTAGAAATATTCTTTTTTTAATTGCATTTTAGGTTTTGGGGTACATGTGAAGAACATGCAAGATTGTTGCATAGGTACACACATGGCAGTGTGTTTTGCTGCCTTCCTCCCCTTCACCTATATCTGGCATTTCTCCCCATGCTATCTCTCCCCAACTCCCCACCCCCTGCTGTCCTTCCCCTATTTCTCCCAACAGACCCCAGTGTGTGATCCTCCCCACCCTGTGTCCATGTGTTCTCATTGTTCAACACCCGCCTATGAGTGAGAACATGCGGTGTTTGATTTTCTGCTCTTGTGTCAGTTTGCTGAGAATGATGGTTTCCAGGTTCCTCCATGTCCCTACAAAGGACACGAACTCATCGTTTTTGATGACTGCATAATATTCCATGGTGTATATGTGCCACATTTTCCCTGTCCAGTCTATCATCAATGGGCATTTGGGTTGCTTCCAGGTCTTTGCTATTGTAAACAGTGCTGCAATGAACATTAGTGTGCATGTATCCTTATAGTAGAACGATTTATAATCCTTTGGACATGTACCCAGTAATGGGATTGCTGGGTCAAATGGAATTTCTATTTCTAGGTCCTTGAGGAATCGCCACACTGTCTTCCACAATGGTTGAACTAATTTACACTCCCACCAACAGTGTAAAAGTGTTCCTATTTCTCCACATCCTCTCCAGCATCTGTTGCCTCCAGATTTTTTAATGATTGCCATTCTAACTGGCATGAGATGGTATCTCAATGTAGTTTTGATTTGTATTTCTCTAATGACCAGTGATGATGAGCAGTTTTTCATATGTTTGTTGGCCTCATGTACGTCTTCTTTTGTAAAGTGTCTGTTCATATCCTTCACCCACTTTTGAATGGGCTTATTTGTTTTTTTCTTATAAATCTGTTTTAGTTTTTTGTAAATTCTGGATATCAGCCCTTTGTCAGATGGGTAAACCGCAAAAATTTTTCCCATTCTGTTGGTTGCCAATTCACTCTAATGACTGTTTCTTTTGCTGTGCAGAAGCTGTGGAGTTTGATTAGGTCCCATTTGTCTATTTTGGTTTTTGTTGCCAATGCTTTTGGTGTTTTGGTCATGAAGTCCTTGCCTATGCCTATGTCCTGAGTGGTTTAGCCTAGATTTTCTTCTAGGGTTTTTATGGTGTTAGGTCTTATGTTTAAGTCTTTAATCCATCTGGAGTTAATTTTAGTGTAAGGTGTCAGGAAGGGGTCCAGTTTCTGCTTTCCGCACATGGCCAGCCAGTTTTCCCAACACCATTTATTAAACAGGGAATCCTTTCCCCATTGCTTGTTTTTGTCAGGTTTGTCAAAGATCAGATGGCTTTATATATGTTGTGTTGCCTCTGAGGCCTCTGTTCTGTTGCATTGGTCTATATCTCTGTTTTGGTGCCAGTACCATGCTGTTTTGATTACTGTATTCTTGTAGTATAGAAACACTCTTTTAGAATGTATTAGGTAGAATATGTTTGAAATATTTAAGTATTTAGAATACTTAAAATGTCTCTGGCCACAAGAAAGCATTAGTACTGTGGTTCACATTTTTGTAGTAACATGAAATAAGTAAGGCATTTCTAGCTTTAAGAAATAGCAATGGGACCAGGCACAGTGGCTCACACCTATAATCGCAGCACTTTGGGAGGCTGAGGCAGGCAGATCACGAGATCAAGAGTTTGAGACCAGCCTGACCAACAGGGTGAAACCCTGTATCTACTAAGAACACAAAAATTAGCCAGGCGTGGTGGGGTGTGCCTATAATCCAAGCTACTTGGGAGGCTGAAGCAGCAGAATCACTTGAACCCAGGAGACAGAGGTTGCAGTGAGCTGAGATCATGCCACTGCACTCCAGCCTGGGCAACAGAGCAAGATTCTCTGTTAAATAAAAAAAAAAGAAAGAAAGAAAGAAAGAGAGAGAGAGAGAAAGAGAAAGAAAGAAACAAAGAGAGAGAGAAAGAAAGAACGAAAGAAAGAAAGAAAGAAAGAAAAAAGAAAGAAAGAAAGAAAGAAAGAAAGAAAGAAAGAAAGAAAGAAAGAAAGGGCAATGAACACAAGAAGATGATACAATATACAACTCAGTGTGACTCATGAAATTTTACTCAGTTTACATAAGTCCTTATGTTGTGGCAAGAATATATTAAAATAAGGTTTTAATGAAAAATTTCAAAGCTATTTGATTTCCTTTCTTTTTATAATCAAGAGCACAACTGCAAGTCCCTTTTCCCTTATAACAAACATATTTTTGACTCATAAATTCTGTGAGAGTTTCTGCTCACTCTGTACCAATTCTCAAATGTGGGTTTTACCTACACTCTTTTTTATATGAGATGATCTCGACTTCAGTTTAAAGGAGGATGTATTTAAAATGCTGAGACAGTAATTTCCATGAATTACGTGTCACTCCAGGGAACATGGAGATGGGGGACTAGATCAAGCATGTTGAGATTCAAACTTGTTCTTCCAGGAAAATCAGATCTAAACTTAACAAGTATACACATGAATAGATGGGAACAGCTAAACATCATTTCTGCTTAATGCAGAAGGTATTAGAAACTTATGAAGTAAATTTGCCTCCTTAATTATCTTTGTAATTATGTTTGTTTACACTGACTCCAAAATGAGTGTTGTTTGCATTCCTGAACATATACGGATTGATTTCAGAGAAGGTGCTCAGAAGTGAGACAGGGATACACATGGTTTTAATAATGACTATGGATACCCTACAAAGTACATAATCCACATAAGGATAGTAAAAGACCTTTTAGTTCACTCAATTATCTAGTTAGAAAAATATAAACTCTAGCCAGGCTTCCTTTGTCCACTTAGCACACTTCTGGAGGGCCCCTTCCAGGTCAGCGAGTTTAGGCCCCAGGAATACACACTCACTGTTATACCAGGTAAAACATCTTTTACAATCAATGAATCATTAAACAAAGTGAAGGTCACTCACATTGTTAACACTTTTCTGCAGGATGTTCTTACACAAGCCCCAGGAAGACAGGCAAGTGAGAGTTCAGTCCGTGTGAGTGAATGACAATCACAAATCCTCAGAACCAAACATTTCAGCCCTCTTTTACCTCCTGCCTTCATTGTGGTCCTCTCTCCCCTAGGCTTCCATCCATCACTGAAGTATTTCCCACAAGGAGTCAGGTCAATTCCAGCTCTCCTAGGACATGACACATTGGTATCTTCAGGGAATGGTCTTCTAAAGATTTTTTTAAAGCTAAAAAAGAACAAAACCAAACACATCAAGAAACTGTCTTTTCCTTTCAGCTTTAACTCAGCTTCAGATTATTCGCCAAGGCTCAAACTCAAATCAAGTTATATATGGTTAGAGCTGGAAAAGAATCTGGCACTCATCTAGTTCAAAACATTCATTTTCATGTGGGGAATGGAGTCCAGAGAGAACAAGCAATTTGCCTAAGTGCGCTCTGTGAGTTGATGGCCCGGTGTAGACTAGAATCTTGGTCACCTTGAGCCAAGGCCTCAAGAATGTCATGGACACCCTGACCAAAAAAAATAAAATTAGGAAGTTAAATCTTCTTCAACAAATATTATGTATTTTAATATAAACCTAAGACAATTAGCTTGAGAACTATGTTTGTTTGGGATTTTTCTTTAGTTCAATTCTGCCCACCTCTCTTATCCCTTTAGTGAAGATATTTGTAGATAATAATCTTTCAATCTTTCTTTCCTAATCATAAACATCTATTTAGCTGGATAACCTAGTCTCTTATTTTTACATTACATTTGAACTGAGTGTGTGAATATTTGCAAAAGTAATATTTCTTGGACTATTTTTCTAGGCCTCTTTAGATGTCCTGCTGTGTGAACTATTTGAGCTAGAATATGATCATAAGTAATGGGACTCTTTCCACTGATAATATGGTTTCCATTAGAGCATAGTCTCCAGTTAAAGTTGAAAACTTTATTAGTTGAGTTACTATTGAATGATAGAAAATACTTTGCATTTACACAAAGAAAAACATATTAGAGTCCGGTCAGTTTGACAAAAGTGTGATATTTGCAGAGACAGCCAAGGATTACCCATCTAAAAGGCCAAGTTAAATAAGACACAATTAGATCTAATTTGGTCTCCTACCTCTCAGGATTCATAAACTCACATTTTAGCAAACGTGGAGGAATAAATTTCATCTTAATTGTATCTTGTTTCCCTTGGCCCATCTACATTACTCACACTCTTCTGACAGGAGCTTTCAGCAAATATCACATTTTCCTGCATCTTGCTGACCTTTTTTTCAAACTGGCTTTTCCTTTTCCTTATTAAATGTTTTTGAACAGATATCATATTTTATTTTGTTTAGAAAGGTAAAATAGAGGGTGAGAATGTATTCATCTACATGGCCGTGAGAAGAAAATAGACATCAACAACAGAATTTTTAGAAAAATAGACTCCCAACCAGTTCTGAAGATGCAGACTTTGCTGCTCAGAATGTACATGTCTACATTCTTACATTCAACCAGTTCTGAAGATACAGACTTTGATGCTAAAAATGTACACAGCTACTAAACTTATGCTGTCCCACTCTGCAGTGTGATCTCGAAGAAGGTGAAAAAATTCAGAGAAAGGAATCAAACGGGTCAAGACTTTTCTTTACACAGTAGGAGCATTGAGACCAAAGGTTTAAAGTTCAAAATATTAGTCCGTTTTCACACTGCTTTAAGAAACTGCCCGAGACTGAGTAATTTATAAAAGAAAGAGGCTTAATCGGCAGTTGAGCATGGCTGGGAGGCCTCAGGAAACTTACAATCATGGCAGAAGGGGAAGGGGAAGCAAGCACCTTCTTCACAAGGTGGCCAGAAAGAGGATGAATGCAGAAGAAACTACTAAACACTTATAAAATCATCAGATCTCATGAGAACTCACTCACTGTCATGAGAACAGCAAAGGACACGTGGGTATTGTGGGGATTATAGGGATTATCATTCAAAATGAGATTTTGGGTGGGGACACAGCCAAATCATATCAGGTGCTGAATGTCAACTGACTTGAAGTCATATAACACATTACTACACTTCAAGAGGACTTGAAGTTGCCAGGACTCCCCTCCAGGATGTCTTACCCTCCTAGCCATTGTCTGCACATCAGTCCCCAACTCGGCTGCCTCTTTTCTATTTTTTCAGCTCTCAAGTTACCAAGACACTCATGAGAAAGATACAAAGTGTGTTGATGGGGCCTACTGTAGGTACATTCTACTCTGCTGTTGGGTAGGAAACACTCTTAGACTGGCGACAACCAGGCCCTCATCTCCAGCCTCTTACAGGTTGCCCTTGGCCATCTCATTCATCTTCACAGCCTCAAGCATCATCTCTTGGTGCCCTATGCCACAGCTGCCTGTGCTGGGCTGAAAAGTCCCCTGAGTGTCATAACCTCTAAATTTGAGATTAAGTTCCACCACTTACCTTATTCAGTAACAATGAGCAAATTACTAAATTCTCTGCTTGTCACTTTCCTCCTCAGTTAAATCAGGGTAATAATCTTTATCATGCAGGGCTAATAGGAAACAATGTACATGTAGTACACATAGTATAGTGTCTAGTACATAGAAGAATAAGAAGAAAAACTTCAACATGACTCAGCCATTTTTCCCTGCTTTCTGTTGAACTCCTTAATGTATTCCTCACAGAAGCTACTCCAGAGCTGGGTGTGGTATCACACACCTATAGTCCCAGCTCCCCAGAAGGCTGAGACAAGAGGATCACCTGCCCAGGAGTTCAAATTCAGCCTGGGCAACACAGTGAGACTCTTTCTCTAGAAATAAAAATATTGTGATTTTTTTTTTTTTTTTTTTGGAGACAGAATCTCACTCTGTTGCCCAGACTGGAGTGCAGTGGCATGATCTCAGCTCACTGTAACCTCTACCACCTGGAATCAAGCATTTCTCCTGCCTCAGCCTCCCGAGCAGCTGGGATTACAGGCGCCTGCCACCACACCCAGCTAATTTTTGTATTTTTAGTAGAGATGAGATTTCACCGTCTTGGTCAGGCTGGTCTTGAACTCCTGACCTTGTAATCCGCCTGCCTCAGCCTCCCAAAGTGCTGGGATTACAGATGTGAGCCACTGCACCTGGCCTATAAAAATTTATTTTAAAGAAGCTGCTGCAGAAAGCTTTTAGAGCCTTGAGATTCTCCGTTTTCTCGCTCTCAGCCCATTTGATCAGTACGCATTAAGATCAGCCATCTCATGCATGATTCCTAGCCTCCTCCCTCTGCAGCTGTCCTGACACCCTCTTTCTTCAAAGCCCAAAGCTGCTCAGTACCTTCACTCAGATGTGTCCTTGCAGCTGTCTCGGAGGGATAGGCGTCTTCACACTGTACCCAGGCTTACTTCCTTCCTTGGTCTTCTCTCATGCCAGCTGTTTCTATCATATCTTCTTTTCTTTCTCTTATGTGTTAGTGAGTGAATCAATGTTAATTAATGTAAGTGTTCCTCTCACTCCACCAGTTCCTTCTCTTCTCTCTACAGTTCTTCAAAAATTCTTATTCTAAAATAATCTCTGGGTCCTGCTCTGCTCTTGAGCTAATGCTCTGATCTTTTGCCACCAGGTCCCCACACACTGCAGCAGCAGGTAGGGATCAGGAACCAGGCTTCCCCTTCCCTTTACCACCTGTGTGTCCTTGGACAAATCACTGAACCTGTCTGTGCCTCTGCTTTTCCATCTGTAACTATAGGCAGGAGAAAATAAGTTTGTTTTTAGGACTAAATGAGTTAATTCATCCAAGCACCTAAAACAGTTCATAATAAGTGCTCAATAAATGTGGGTCTCTTCGCCCATTGCTTACACACCCTGTGCCTCCATGCCACTTCTCCTCTATCCCCAGAGGCTGGAAATTTGTTTCTTAAGGATTCTAATGGCTTCATTATCTCAAAACAAAACATCATTTCCCACTTTCCCTCTCATTCTTCTTAACCTTTGTGCAGCTTTGACAAAGCTAACACCCCTCCTACTGGAACATCCATTGTCTTGGGACAAGGAAGGAAATAACTGATATGTTTTTCCTACTACCCTCTCCTATCCAGGCCATGAGACTTGACACTAGCACTACTCCAAGGGGGCAGGAGGGAAGTTTCAGGAAAGAACTAGGGACAGACACTAATTTGGCTCTTTTAGTCAAAAGTCTTGGCAGAATGTCTGTGTGATTCTTCACCCCTGGCCTCAGTTTGGTCCTCAGAGTTTGGGGAGGGAAGGAAATCCAGAGGGAAATGCAAGATGTAAAGTATGGAAGCCCCTTGGAAGGAGATATGGAACATGCCCCCACCTACACCCATCAAGGCTGAATCTACAGATAGCAGTGAAGTGGAAATGAAGCCATCACAGGATGACACAGGTCCCCATTGAAGTTTTTTTATGGCCCCAGAGTGTCACAGTAAAGCAACAGGAAGTTTCCCAGGCTCCCCATTCCCCTCTCCCCAGAGAGATAAGGAAATACTGAGATTAAGGCCAGAAAATCCGCAGGGGTCTCATGGGTGTGCTGAGAGGACTCCGCTGCCGCTGCCGAGGGCAGCATAGACCACGGACTAGAAACCCTCTGGGTTCACAGACATCTCAGAGGATACTAGTGAAGATAGAAACCAGCTACCAAAACCTCTGACCATGGTGCCGGCGTGAAACCCTACCAGGCCAGCCCCACATCTCTTTGAATGCCCCATAAGCTACATGCCACACAGAGGAAAAAAAGATAGACAAAACAAAACCCCACCTAGACTGTTAGTTCTCTGAGGACAGAGACCATCCTCCTTTTCCTTATCTGTCTTAGTACTGTACAGATACCGTTCAATAAATTTCAGCTGAATTTATTAATTATTACCTTGTTGCCTTTTCTGCCACCCTGAAATGTCACACAAATCATCCCTTCATCTGTTTTTCCTTGTCTCTTCTTAAATAATGTATTTAAAAGTAATATTTGTTAAAAAGAACAAATATTACTTTTAAATACATTATGAGGAAAAGCTATGAGAGAACAAATTGAAGCATCAATACAAGACAGCTAGAAACTAAGTGGATCTGGAATGTTCAATCAGCAAGTAGCTTGGACCACTAGAGGGAGTTTGTACAGGAATGAATGAAATAAGATACAAATTGTGTTATAATATTTAATTGACAACCATAAATCTATGACCAGGCAAGATTCTTTCTTCTTAAAAAAATGTAAATACTTTTGAAAGATAGACTGTATGGAATACATCAAATAAAGCTTTCTCACCAGACAAAAGCAAATTTTAAACACAAGTTTATGCTGTGAACTTTAAAAAACATTAAATGTAGGCATTTGCAGTTCTGTGCCATTCAGTCTTAAATGGCAACTTAATCTGTGCTAACCCAGTCAACAGGTCAATCTCACTGTTATATTTTAGAACTTTCCAATTTAAAAAAATTATATATTAAATGTATTGCATTCCTCATTTCAAAATTTCAGGAGAAACTTTAGTGAGTCCTCATTTTACACTTGAAGAAGAGACCCAGAGTAGTTCATCAAATTATCCAAGGTCTTATATCTAGCTAGGAAATCAACTTGTACCAAAAACTTTAGGTCTATATGAATAGAAAAGCATTTTAACAATCCCGAAAGGGAGTCACTCACCAGATTCTCTTTGTAAGACTCCTACCTTTGTTGCGTTTGTTCTTGAGAAGAAATACCCATTCTTTAGTGTTTTTTCTGATCAGAATGGCTCCACACCAACCTGGGCAGGGCTCTCAAGGTTACAGAAATTTGTATTCATTTACATAGCTATTGCCCCAAGTATACATGAGCTCCCAGGAGGACTGAGAAGATCAGGTTCTAGGGTCTACCACCATCCCCCTTTGTTTTCTTCTTAACTTAATTCTGGCCCCAGGTATTGCTTCTGTTCATTTTAAGCATCTGGTCATCTTACTCCACTGGCTTTGTTACCTTTCTTTACATCTGGGCTTTGGTCTGAGCAACAGATTGCAACAAGTTTCCCTAACTTGAGTCTCAGGGAAAAAAACTTGGGGCCTGGATACCTCCCCAGTCAGAGAACCTCTGAATACTTAGGCAAAGCAGTATACTCTCTCCACATGCTCTATATTCTGGAATTGTAAAGATGGAGAGATTTCTTAAGAGAGGAAAAAATGTGTTGTTATAAACTTTGGATAGAGCAATGTAAACATTCTGCCTTACTTACAATAGAAAAGGAATATTACTCAAATGATTCTGACCTTATGAAAAAATTACTTCATATTGACTTGCTTTCTCTACTTACAACATAGCCATGCCAGATACAGTGCTAAATTCTCAGCTCCCCAGCTGCCCACTGCATGTCGACATGGGAAGAACCTAATTTTACGTACTACGATACATACAGAAAAATCCAGGAGTAAAAACATCAATATTAATAGATAATAGCTGCTCTATTTAGACAGTTGGACAAGTATTTTCCTCCTAAATAATTAGTGTACTTATGTATCTGATAAAAAAAGGTTTTGGCTGCAAGTAATAAATACTCAATAAGGCTGGCTTAAACAAAGAGTGGCTTATTTTTCTCATATAACAAGCAGTTCCTCCAGAGGTTGTTCTGGGCTTGTTTCAGCGGCTCAGGGGCATTATCAAGAATGCAGACTCTCTATCTTTCTTCTATTATCCTTAGTACATTAGCTTTTCATCCTTAGGCTTTTCCAGAGGCCCCAAATACCTCACCCTATATCTCATTGCCAGAGCAGTGTCACATGGCCACCGCTATCTGCAAGCAAAGGGGAATGGAATTACTATCATTATCTTAGGTCCAGGCAGGGGCAAATGGTTAGGACGATTTTGTTGTATACAATCTGTATTAAGTGTATGTCCTTCCACCTCCAACAGTTGCTATGCATCTCCTGGGTCTGCCCTGAACAAATGATGGCTTTATAAGTGAGAAGAAAGGAAAGAATAACAGTTGGGTAGGCAAATAACAGCATTGGCCACAGCTTTCTTCTATCATCTACCCTTTTCATGTTCTGTCATAGATGTTAGATGTGATTTTTAAATATGCCTTGTAATACGTCATTGGTTTCTCTCTCTGATAAGTGCAGAAAATAATCAGTCCCTAGGAGAGAATCAAATCCTTTTTTAAAATGTATATGAGCATCTTTCCCCAGAAAAGCAGGCTTTTACTTCCTACCCATTTCTCTATATATTTCATATATATATGAAATATATATATATATATCATATATATATAATTTTTTTATAAAGACGGGGTTTCACCATGTTGGTCAGGCTGGTCTTGAACTCCCGACCTCAGGTGATCTGCCCGCCTTGACCTCCAAAATGCTTGGATTACAAGCATGAGCCACCACGCCCAGCCTCTCTATATATTTCTGAATGTATGCAATTTCAGTGGTCATCATTTAGTTATATTCACAATTTTCCAGAACATTAAATCAACCATCTACTCTTTTCTGTGACAAAATCAATGTGTGGATTCTCTGATTAACTTTGAGGTGCCCTTCCCTGCTACACATAAAATTCTGTGGGTAGTAAACCAATGAGCCTTTTCCATTCTCCATGATAACATGTATAGTTATTGTCATGTCATTGGAATGAAACTTTCTCTGAAGCTTTGTATTTCAGTAAAAACAAAACAAGCAACCTCACATAATTCTCCCTTCTTTTATGTCCCTTACATAAACTGAAAAACTTCACTCAGCCATAAAATGGAGTATCTGCTAGCACTCTCCAGACAGTAATTGTTCTTCCATATTATACACTACTGATACAATGTCCAACCTTGTCGGGACTTTTTTTTTTCAAGACAGAGTCTCACTCTGTTGCCCGGGCTGGAGTGCAGTGGCACAATCTCGGCTCACTGCAACCTCCACCTCCTGGGTTCAGTTAATTCTTCTGCCTCAGCCTCCTAAGTAGCTGGGATTACAAGCATACGCCACCACACCTGACTAATTTTTATATTTTTAGTAAAGACAAGTTTTCACCATGTTGGCCAGGCTGGTTTTGAACTCCTGACCTCAAGTAATCCACCTGCCTCAGACTCCCAAAGTTCTGGGATTACAAGTGTGAGCCACTATGCCCAGCCAACAAAGTGATTCTGTCAATTGTTCTTTCTGCTTTACTTCTGATCATAGTAATTATCTTACTATCATAACTGCATTTAAAACTTCAATAGTAGTTTAATTTATACTTTTTTTTAGTAAGAGTTGAAGTTTTCAATAAAGCATTTATATCTCTGTCCTCTTCTTAAACTAGCAATTTTGTCCTGGAAACATTATTTTACCATTGTTTTTGGAATATTTTGTTGGTATACCAGCAAAATCTCTGTTTTTCTTGAAATACATCAACAGCTTTATGCCACTATATAAAAGTTTCATAACTGACAATGCACCAGAGATTAGAAGCAAATTGACTGCCAGTCTGATTAACAGTCAAATATTTAATTTTTTTCCTTTCTTTTTTTTTTTTTCCTTAGAGACAGGGTCTCACTCTGTCACCCATACTCAGCTTGGAGTGCAGTAGCACAATCATGGCTCACTGTAACCTCAAACTCCTGGGCTCAAGGAATCCTCCTGCCTCAACCTCTGGAGTAGCTGGAACTATAGGCATATACCACCATGCCCAGTTAATTTTTTTTTTTTTTTATAGATGCGAGGTCTCATTATGTTGCCTCAAACATTAAGTTGGTCTCAAACTTCTGGCTACCAACAGTCCTCCCAACTTGGCCTCCCAAAGTTCTGGGATTACAGGCATGAGCCACTGTAACCAGCCTTTTTTTTCTTTTCTTTTTTTTTTCTGCTGATTAACGCTCTTTTATTTCAACTGCCTGTGTGAAATCATCACAGTTACTAATTTATTTGTCTCAGGCCATGAGTCACATTTTATAGTAACACGGATCTGAAGTCTTGTATGGCTGTGTTTGCCACTTTTGATCCATTGATTCCTTTCTATGAATTGAGGACCTGACAATATATAATAATAACTATAAAAAGACAAATTTAGCAAATGAATAACAAGCACATTGTGTGTAAATATGCCTCATTTGATGAACTGACTAGCAAAACTCTTCTCATACATACACATTTTTAAGAATATCATACTTATTGAGATATAAAAGATTCCTATGAAAATGTTAAATCTCAAAATTTACAAAATATATGTGAACAAAATTGTTCCATTTTCCCCTTGAAGCCTTCACACTGTCTGCAGAAAATTTAATAGGCCACTGAGATCCCCAGTAGTCCATGGACATTTGGGGAACATTTAAAAATACTTGACTACAGTTGTTCTAACCATAGAAAGAGGAATTTGAACTCTGAACCTATGATCATTTCTGACCTAAAAGTTCTACACCTCCCATTTAATTACATTTAAAGGAGAACTGTTCCTATAGCAAACAGCAAAGGATGTTATTAGATTGATGAGCTTGACTTTATAGTTTATCCCTGCTAACTTCTTTCATTTTGACTTAGTCATTAACCATGGGCACAATTTCTATTTCCCATCTGCCTAGAGTCTCTGAAAATTCAAAAAGATGTCAAAGCACTTTTCCAAAATCTGTCAAAGTTTAGGCTGTATTAGTATTGATATGAGTTCATCACAAATGCTCTAGACTAGAGACAGAAAGAAGACCACATGTAGAAGTGACAAAGTAGTGTTTTGTTTGTGTGTTTGTGGAGGGGGAGAAAAGGAGATGAGGAGACCAGCAAAAGCCAGTGCTCTCTCAGAGTGGCAAGGAGCTGCTAGAAAAAGCAGAGTGTTTTTAGGAAGTATTCAGTGAAACTATCAGTGGTAATCTACCTAGGACTCTATAGAAGAGATTCTACACTAAGGAGGAAGGTAGGATGATCTCTCAAATCCTTTCCAACTCTAAGATTCTATTACAAGTAGAAAACAAAACAAGACCTTTGTCGTAGCACTGGACTCTATAAGGTTTCCATACATAACAGTAAT